TAAACATTTTTAGGAAAAAAAACAAGATAGGGTCCAGGCCCAAAAAAATTCATGGCGGAGCAATGATCTGGGATAATCTGACGGGCTCTGGAGCCAGACCGCTCCCCCAACAACTACAAACAATCGCACTGGGATGGTCCAAATAGGGGAAAAATATTCCCTCAAAAATGCTTAGAGTGTGTCGGGGAAAGGGATAGAGCCCCCCCCGGGCAGTGGACCCCCTCATGCTGGGGACTTTCTTTTGGGCTGTTCCCAACTCCGCCTTGGCCCGTCTCGACCCACAGACCATCCGCATCGGGTTCCCCTTCGACTTCCGGCCCCTTTTTCTTCCCGAAACGGTGTATTTGTGGCAGTGAAGCAGCAACCGTTTCGGGTACCAGGTCTTGTGTGCCGTAACCCCGGGGGAAAAGTTTGGAAAGACATGAGGGGTTTAATAACATTATCAAGAGGAGCCTCAAAACAGCTGGATGCCCAGCAGAAAAGGGACCACCCCAACTTGCAGATTATGGCAGCCAGAAGCGCCCAATGGTTTCCCACCCTTAAAGCCGGAAGATGGGAAGCAGGGGGTGGGGGATTACATGTGCTTCCTTGGCTGATACCTATCCCCAATACCCAGGGAGGAAGGGGGGGCAGCTGCCAGCTTGGGGAGTCCCAAAAGTTAAAAAAAATGGAAAACTTCCCCATCATTATAGTTTGTTCCCAAGGCTCAGAGACCTTGGCTCAGGGGAAAGAGTACATCAAAATTTCCCTTAAGGAGCGGGGGAAAAAAGACTCTCAGGGAACTAGGGACCCCAGGGCAGCTTTTTTTCTTTTCCCAGCGGCTCAGTGCGGCTGTTAAAAGGGGTAATGCCTGTTATTTTGGGCACAGCCCCAGCCCCGGGATGGATAGTTTTTCGCCCTATAATCGGTGATACACAGTAAAACATTACGTAATGCCCCCTTTATTCAACAAGTATCTCTTAAATCTTCTGTACCATATTATGTAATAAAATACAGTGGCCCCCCGGTTAACGATTTAAAAACTGCAAGAGGGTTCATGTTATGCGAAATAATCGTTATGCAAATTTAAATTTTTCCCCATAAGAAAAAGGGAAATAAAATTAATCGTGCAAGACGCCCAAAAGTATGAAAAAAAATTTTTTTTCCCACATAAAAATGTTTATTTTAAATCACACAAACTGAAAAAGGCATCCCCACAATTACTGACACTTACTTTTTTGAAGATCTGGTGATGTTGTGGGAGGGGAGGGGGGGGAGAGCATTATCTTCTTACTGTTTAAAAGGGGGAACCCCCTTTCCATTAGGACTTGAGGTAGCAAGCCCCTTTTCTGGGGTACTTCCCTTCTTCTTTTAATCCCACTAGGACCGCTTCAGAGTCACTGGCCCCTCTGTGCAAAAAAAATCTGTCCATAAGCCTGTACCTCCGTTTCTTCAAATTTTCCTAAAATGGGCCATAACATTGTCTAAAATAGTCACAAGCAGGCTTGCAAAGCTGTGTCAGGGTGTTTTTCATCTATAAAAGGTTTGCAGTTCAAACCACTCCCCCACTTTTCCCTTTAAACTTTAAAATTTTAGGAAACAATGGTTTCCCAAAAACTGGCATAGGCTTTCGGGGTTCCCAAAACCCCTTCAAATCTTCAAATTTTTCCATACTAATTCTACCCTTTTTCCCACGGGGGGCACTAGAAGTTTTTGGGGGCCCCCCATGGTTTTTTATTTTCCAGAAAAACCCCGAAAACACTGAAATAATCGAAATATTCCGAGTGTTGCTTGGGTGTTACCGCGGGGGTGGCTGGTAAACAATGGGAGGGCCCGGGCCCAGTGGGGCACATTGGACGGTCTCGGACGAAAATCGGTATGCGGGTTTTTTAAAATCGGTATGGGGGGCAAAAATTTTGCTAAAAAGTAATCGTTATGCGGAAAAAATCGCTTGCGATGCCATCTTTTGCGGGGGTCCCACTGTTTCCCTATTAGTAAAAAAAAATATATATCAAAAGATGGGGTGGTGGGGGGAAGTGGAATATTAAAACGGCTTCGGGTCCAAATTTTTTTCCTTGAACCCTTTTTACCCCACTTCCCCGAGGATGGGTCCCACAATTTCCCTTATTTATATATTTCTTTCTTTAAAAAACACACCCCCGTTCCCCCCGGGGCGGGGGGGCCCAAAAAGGAAAAAAACAAAAGTTTCCCCTTTTTACTTTTAGTTATATACAGCAAAAGGGTTCTAGCCCTTGCCCCCCGGCATTTTAGTCGCCTCTTACAACCGCATGGCTTACGGAGGAAGAATTCTTTTCCCACTTCCCCTTTGGAGATAAGAGGAAATAAAAAAGAAAAAGAACTAGAAACAAATGAAAAAACCCAGGGGGGGTGTTATATAATCTTGTACAAAATTTTAGTGTGACCTAAGGGTAAGTAGAAGTAGCAAGACGTACCTGAAATCTTTCTTTCATGAGACAGAAAAAAGGCACCAGCAATCCTACCTCATGTAAAACAATTACAGGCTTTCGTTTTCACTCCTTGGCAGGACGGTAGTACCTCCCGGGGGGTTTCTGTCTACCAACCCCTACCCAATATCTTTCTTTAACAACCGGCCGTACCCACCCAGGCGGGGGGCCCAAAAGGAAAAACGAAAGTTTTTCCTTTTACATTTAGTAATTATACAGGGAAAAGGGGTTTCTAGCCCCCTTTCTCCCCCCCTTTTAGTCGCCCTTACAAAAACGCAGGCTTCGGGGGAAGAATTTGTTTCCCCTTCCCCATGGAGATAAAAAGGGGGAAAAAACAAAATAAGAACTGAAAAAAATAGAAAAAAACCCCGGGGGTGTGTATTATGTCTTGTAATGTATGGTAGTGTGACCTAAGTGTAAGTAGAAGTAGCAAGACATACCTGAAATCTTGCTGTTCATGAGACAGAAAAAGGACACCAGCAATCCTACACTTTAAAACAATACAGGTTTCGTTTTACACTCATTTGGGAGGACGGGAGTACCTCCCCCCCGGGTGGTTTGTTCTACCAACCCACTACCCAGATATATATATATATTATTAATATTATAATTTATATATTTTTGCGGAGCCCTTTCTTACAAGTGGTCCATGCGAGTTTTTCCGATACGAGCGCTGCTCGGTCGATTTTTTTCTTCAGTTGCGAGCAAAATTTCCAGATGCGAGGGGCCTCAAGGGGGGTTAATTGCACTGGGGAAGGGGCTTTGCTCTTGACAAGGAAATTTGGTCTCAGTTGTTTGTTGGACTATTTTTTTGAAATTGGGCATGCATGATGAAAAGATGCTTTTTAACGTACACCCAAAAAATTAAATTTAAAACGGGCCATAAAAAAACGGGGTTCCCTTTACAGCCCTTTGCCTCCCCCTTCGGTATATTTTCCCTAGGTTTTATGGTTTTCAGTTTTTTGGTTCATTGATAGATGGAAGATATATACAAAAAGAAAAATATTTTATTGGTTTCCGATGAAAAATACCTTGAAAAAGAGCTCAAAATTGCAAAATGTTCGATTTTTTGGGACATCAGTGGTAGACATCATGGGTAGCAGTGGCAGACAAAATGAAGCAGGAGTGGAGCAACATGAAGCAGGATGGCAGACAACAGAACGCAGTGGCAGAAAAATGAAAAGGAGTGGCAGACAGCATGAAGCAGAGTGGCAGAAACCCTGAAAACAGCAGTGGCAGACAAAAATGAAACGGGTGGCAGACAACATGAAGCAGGAGTGGCGACAACATGAAACGCATGGCAGACAACATGAAGCAGGGGTGGAACAAATGAAGCAGGGGGAAAACGCTGAAACAGCAGGGCAGACAACTGAAGCACAGTGGCACACAACATGAAGCAGCAGTGGAGACAAAATGAAGCAGGGGTGGCAGACAGCATGAAGCAGCGTGGGAGCAACATGAAGCAGCATACACAACATGAAGCAGCATGGCAACAACTGAAACAGGAGTCAGACACATAAGCGCAGTGGCAGACAAAATGAAACAGCATGGGAGACATCATGAGGTAGCAGGGAGCAACATGAAGCAGCGGGCAGCATATGGATGAGTGGGAGACAACTGAAGCACAGTGGCAACCATGGGTAGCAGTGGAGACAACATGAAGCAGCAGTGGCAGACATCATGAGATGCAGTGGCAGACAACATGAACGCAGTGGCAGACATCATGAGGTAGCCCTTTCAGACAACATGAAGCAGCAGGGCAAAGTGTAGCATTAAAAGTGTAGCACTTATAAGTCACTCTGTCTGACTTTTTTTGGGTTACCTGGTTCTCTACACTTAGTGGAGCGGAATGGCGTTGTGGGGGCTCTATAAACCCCAAAAACAATGGCGCTGTCCCCCTAGCCCCCAAAACCCAATGACTCGATTTTATTTTATTTAGTGTATACATCTGTTTATGTTATAATTTGTTTTTTTATGTCTATTAATGAATTGGATAGTAAATAAACTGTAGAGTTGATATTAGGGAAATTATTAAATTATTTTCTCATGCCTGGAATTCCACTGGAACGAATTAATTTCAATTAATTTAAATGAGGAAAATTGACTCTGCAAACGAGCAAATCCAGTTGTGAGCAAGGTCATGGAGTGGATTAAACCCGTAAGTAAAGGTTCCACTGTATATATAGGGGGTGGAAGGTAAGAGGGGTAGGTTATTATAACCAAAAATTATCCTGACTGACCTCAGTAAATGTACTAAAAGAAATGTGTTGATGATATCAAGTACAAATGTGTACCATATCTATTAAGGAAAACATTTGGAAAGATTAATTTCTATAATCCTGAAAAAAAAAAAAACACTAGGTTTTATGTCACCCCATTTATTGGCAGTTTTTAGTCATTCAATTCTAAAAAGTTATTACTGTTAACAACAAAACAAAAGTTAAATGTTTAAAAAAAATCCCTTTAAAAAATTCATAAAACGATACCTTTTTTTCAAAACAGAGATGATGCTAAATAATTAAGAACAAAATCTCAATTTTCATTTCCTTTATTTTCCTGCCCCTCCCCTCTGGGAAAGGGTAAAACCTGGAATAGCCTTGTTTGGGAAAATCAATTCATATACTATGCCAGTGCGGTCGTCCACCGATACAACTTTCCGTTTAAAAAAAATCATTCGGATGTTTTCCCTTTTCCCGCCCATAAGCCATGTTGGACATCAAAGGGTTTTAAGTTCCTTACCCATCCCCCTGAGTCTTGATTTCTATAGACAGTAAGATACCCCTGAAAAAAGACACTGCTGAAAAATACTGATACCAATATATTTATGATTCTATAGGCACTGTACAACCCCTGTGAGTTTAGTGAGAATATTTTGAGGAGTTGTTAAATGTTGATGAAGAGAGGGAGCAGTGATTTTATGCACTGGCCAGGAAGGTATAAGAACTTTTAGGCATGAAGAAGAGCCAGATGTGAGTGTGGGGAAGTTGTGTGAGGCATTGGGTATAATGAAGGAGTAAAGCAGCTGGAACTGATGGGATCATAACAGCAATGTTAAAAACAGGGGAGGGGGGACACAGTTTTGGAGTGGTTGGTACTCTTGTTCAATAAATGTGAAAGAGGGGAAGGTGCCTAAGGACTGGCAGAGAGCATGTATAGTTCTTTCATATAAAGGGAAGGGGGACAAGAGAGTAAAAATTATTGGGGAATAAACCTACTGAGTATACGTATCTTGTTAGTGTATGGTACGGTTTTTAGTTTTTTAATGGGTAGGGGATGTGTAACCGGTTTACATTGAAAATATAAGTAACAATATTTAGATAAAAAATGGTAAGGTTTCGTTGATTTTTAGATTTAGAAAAGGCTGATGAAGGGGGGCCCAGGGAAGCAATGTGGCAGATGTTGCAATGAGGGAAAAGGTGTTTAAATTTATAAAGATTAAAAAGTTTTTATGAGGACAGTGAGGCTAGGTTTCGGTGGTAGGAGGAGATATATTCTTTCCAATAAAAGTAGGCTTGACAGGGGTGTGTAATTTACCACGTTGTTTAAAAATATTTATAGATGGGGTTGTCTAGGTAGTTGGTGGCAGACAGCAACCGCCCAGGGAGGGACACGTCCCGCCAATTTAGGTAAAAAAAGAAAGCCGTAATTGTTTTACATGATAGTAGGATTGCTGGTGTATTTTTTTCGTCTCATAAACATGCAAGATTTCAGGTATGTCTTGCTACTTCTACTTACACCTAGGTCACACTAACAAACATGTTAACTTTTTTAAAACACACTTTGGGTTTTCTTCTATTTTCTTACTAGTTCTTGTTTATTTCCTCTTATCTCCATGGGAAAGTGGAACAGAATTCTTCCTCTGTAAGCTGTGTCATAAGAGGCGACTAAAATGCCAGGAGCAAGAGGCTAGTAACCCCTTCTCCCATATACATTACTAAAGCTCAAAAGAGAAACTTTTTTCTTTCTGGGTCACCCTGCCTCGGTGGGATACGGTTGGTTTGTTGAAAGGAAGATCGGGTTGTAAAAGAAGTACATGATAGGGTGTTGGGGAGAGGGGTGGGATTAAATTATGCAGATTCAAATACAAAATGGGAGTTGATACAGTTACATTTTGCTAATGATACTGTACTTTTGGTAGATTCTAAAAAGAAGTTGCAAAGGTTAGTGGACAAGGTTGGGAGTGTGTGTGAAGGAAGAAAATTGAAAGTGAATGTAGATAAGAGTAAGGTGATGAGGGTATACAACAATTTAGATTAGGAAGAATTGGATATCAGACTGGAGGGAGGGAGTATGCAAGAAGTTGATGTGTTCAGATATTTGGGAGTAGACTTGTCAGTGGATGGGTTTGTGAAGAACAAGGTAAACCACAGAACTGATAAAGGAAAAAAGGTGGGTGGTGCACTGAGGTATCTGTGGAGACAAAGAAGGGAATGTATGAGAGTATAGTAGTACCAACAATGGGTGTGAAGCATGAGTTATAAATATTGCAGCAAGGAGGAGGCTGGAGGCAGTGGAAATGGCATGTCTAAGGCAAAGTGTGGCATAAACATTATGCAAAGAATTCGTAGTATGGAACTTAGGAGGAGGTGTGGAGTTACTATAAGTATTATTCAGAGGGCTGAAGAGGGGTTGTTGGAATGGTTTGGTCATTTAGAGAGTATGGAACAAAATAGGATGACTTAGAGGGTGTATAAATCTAGAGGTCACCCTAGGAAATTATGGAGGGAGGAGGTAAAAGAGGTTTTGTGTGCAAGGGGGCTTGAATATACAGCAGGCATGCATGTGTTAGATAGGAGTGAGTGGAGATGAATGGTTTTTGGAACCTGATGAGCTATTTTAGTGTGAGCAGGGTAATATTTTGTGAAGGGATTTAGAGAAACCAGTTAGCCAGATTTGAATCCTGGAGGTGGGAAGCACAATGCCTACACTTTAAAGGAGCAATTTGGGATATTGGCTGTTTGGAGTGACATTTGAACTGTCATATCTGGATGCCTCTACAAAGGCAGTGATTGTGTGAATGATGGTAAAAGTTTTTCTTTTTTTGAGTCACCCTGCCTTAGTGGGAGATGGCTGATGTGTTAAAAAAAAAATAATAATTTAAGCTTTAATACAAACATTCACAAATATATTTAGCATGTACAGTATGTCAACAGAAAGCAACTGCTCTTTGTTAAGTAAAGATAGTACATATTAACCCTTTGACTGTCGCAACCCCAAATCCTGAGGTGTCTCCTGGTGTCGCAAAATATTTGAAAAAAAAAATTATTTTTTCTTATGAAATGATAGAGAATCTTTTCCCGATGGTAATGACACCAAAAGTAAGAAATTTGATGGAAAACTTACGGAATTATGCTCTCGTGAAATTAGCAACCTCGGCAACATTTACGCATTGGCGATTTCACCCACTTTGAGCCCTATTTTCGGTCAATTCCATTCTTCCAGCTCGCCAAACTCATAGCTATTTCTTTAGAACTTCATTTATTCTATCAATTGAGTACAAGAAACTGCCCATTTACTGATTTCAACTACCCAATAAAGTGGTCAGAAATTGGCAATTTGGCCAATTTCATGCAAAATAAAAAATATGTCATTTTCAAAATAGGGTCCAGAATGAACAATGCAGACATTCCTGGCACTAAAATAACATTTTCTCTATTCATCAGTCACATCTCCAGGCCCCTGATATAATCCTCTTGCTTTCTATTTTGAAGTTTTATTCACACAAAAAATAGAAGATTTACTGTTATGCAGACTACTGCAATATTGTAATAATTGTATAAATAATGTCAACCCATTCGTGACTGCGTATCAGAATGGCTAGTTGGACATTTATTGGACAATTTGTTTACTCTTGAACATCGGCAAAAATCAAACATTTCTGCCATGCTGAGCTCTATTTCAAGATCCTTTTCATAGTAAAAACCAATGAAAATCACTTCTATTTCTATAATATGTTTTCCATTCTATCAAATGAGACCAAGAAAACAAGAATACAACCATAAATATTATATGAAAATACACCTCAAAGTTGGCGTTTTAATCCAAAAACACAGTCGGATTTTTTTTTTCTCTGCTGCAGGATTTTTTTATACTGCACACACTGACCACACAGACCCATTCTCTCACATGTGGGCCTACCAGCTTTCTCCTGCTTGATTTGAAGCCGCTAGAATTTTTGAGTATAGTATATACGTCAAACACATTGGCTCATAAGACGTATATATAGGACCAAAACAGTCAAAGGGTTAAAATAAAGCTACAAAAAAGCAGGTAAATTTGTTAGTTTAGCAATACAGTACCTTTTTCATATGACTGATCCATGTGTTCTTCTCAGTAGGGTGTTTAGAGTTGGTGTCAAGATCAGTAACTATTGCAATACGATATTTAATATATCCTCTATCACTGTACACTGGTGATGTTAGAGGGTAAGTGCTGAAAATAAAAAATTACTATTTGTTAAGTTACAAATAATTACAAAGTAAAAATGTGTTAAAATTAATAATGACATTATTATAATGACGTATTAAAAGAGTCCAATGACAAGCTACCTTTTCTAGACATCCTCATTCACAAAGTAGATAACCTAAGATTTTAAGTTTACCAGAAACCTACAAATAAAAATGATCTCACACACTTCTATCCCAGTCAAGATACTAAGATCAAAAGAGGCATCATCATCGGATTCTTCCTAAGAACGTTCCGAATTTGTAGTCCTGAGTTTCTTGACAAGGAATGTACATACATTCACCAAACCTTCACTGATTTACATTTTCCTTTCCTTTTCATCAAAAATTGCAAGAAAGAGCTCTTCAGATCATTAATTCTCCATGCACCAACACCACTCCTAACAGAATTATAATTCTTCCCAACGTTCAAAGCCAGGTTGCTTTGAACGTTTCTCAAGTACACGTACTTGTACAAGCTAACACTAGAGTCACCATCACTTCCAGCACTTCAATAAAAACCTAACCAGGACAAAATCCAAGCACCATGAACCAGTTAACGCAGGGGTTTACACTATACCCTGTGGAAGCTGCAACAGGATTTATGTAGGTGTCACAGCAATAAACCTCAAAACCCGCCTCAATGAACACATTTATGCATGTAGGAGCGATAACTTGAACAACGCCTGCGTACAACACTGAAATTCCACCAATCATCTCATGAAATTCAGGGACACCTGATTAGTGGTCAAAGAAACTAATTTCCGCAGACGCAAGTGCCTTGAATCAGCACTAATCGCAGTTTCTAATACAATTAAACAAAAAGGCAGCTTCACCATCTCTGAAGTCTTAGTAAGAATCCTCCTGAAAACAGTAAACCCTGCCATCACATAGTCTCTCCTGCTAATACTACACAAGCACATTACAGAGGATGAACATTGAAACAGGCCTTCTCTAATCCAGCCTCCAACAGAAATATTTGTCTAACTTATTTTTATGTTACCCAAGTAATAGCTTTTATATCCTTTTACTCATGTGCAAGTTATTTGTTCTACCATATTGTATTACCACTACTACTACAACTGATATACTACTATTACTGCCACTAGTACTGCACCTCACTCTAAGCCTATATATACCCTCTGTGTCCATGTACTGTTTGTAACGGCTTGACAAAGCTCCTGGAGAGTGAAACATTGCCACAATAAAATGTCACATTAGTTGCACTTGTGTCCATTTACTTTACATTAAAAAATACAATTACAACAACTGATACTACATTATCATTTTCATTTTTGAAGAATTCACAATTAACCCAGTGCATAAAAAATTCTGACACAGTTTGAGGTCATTCTGAACCCAAGCAGCAACTTTATACCGGTCCAAGATTGGCTAAAATGTCAATTAAGTTTCATCTCCAGTTTTTCTGTGAATGGTTCAATGGCCCACTCTAGGAATCACAGCATATCATTTTTACCACTACAAAAATCATCCTACTTTTCAATTCTAATAGATTTCTATTTTATGTACCTATTAGCCCTTTCATGATCCACAGGCCCTCTCAGAGACTTGTTTTCAGGGTCTCCCAAATTTAAAAAAAAAAAAAACAATTTTTTCTTGTGGAAAGATAGAGAATCTTTTCCCGATCATAATGACACCAAAAGTATGAAATTTGATGGAAAACTTAGGAAATTATGCTCTCGCGAAGTTAGTGGTCTCGACGATGTTTACGCATTGGCGATTTTGCCCAATTTGAGCCCTATTTTCGGCCAATTCCAGTGTAGTAGTCGACAAAAATCATAACTATTTCGCCAGAACTCCAATTTTCCTATCGAAAGAGTACAAGAAGCCACCCATTTACCGATTTCAACTATCCAATACAGTGGTCAGAATTCAGCAATTTTGCCAATTTCACACAAATTTCAAAAGATGCCAATTTCCAAATAGGGTCCAGAATAAACAAGAAAATACATTCCTGGCACTAAAATAACATTTCCTCTGTTCATTAGTCATGTCCCCACGCCCCTCTTACATTCTTTTGCTTTCCATTTTGAATTTTTTTTCTCACAAAAAATAGAAGATTTACTGTTACGCAGACTACTGCATTAGTGTAGAAATGGTATAAATAATATCGGCGCACTTGTGAAAGAATATTAGACTCACCAGTTGACGTGTATTGGACACTTAGTATGATTTGTTTACTTTTGAACTTTGGTAAAAATCGAACATTTCTGCTACTTTGAGCTCAATTTCAAGGTACTTTTCATTGTAAAACCAGTCAAAATCATCTCAATTTCTGTAATATGTCTTCCATTCTATAAAATGAGGAGAGGAAAACTAGAATACAACAATAAATACCATCCGAAAATACAGTGCAAAGCCGGTTTTAATCCAAAAACACAGTCAAAGTTTTTTTTCCTCATTACGCACTGTGTGCTGCAGGATTTTTTTTTTTTTACTGTGCACACTGACCACATAGACCCATTCTTTCATATGCAGGCCTACCAGCTTTCCCTCACTAGATTTGAAGGTGCTAGAATTTTTGCATACTAGTATGGCACCAACCCTGGCATGCAAGCCATACTAGTACGACCGAAACCCTGAAAGGGTTAAAGCTACGCTCCTTGACTTTAGCAACCAATTTTCAGCTTTTGAGAATGAAGATGCCATAGGGAGGTGGCGGTTTCTTGGAGTCACAAAGATTTTCATTTTTCAAACAGTAGTATGTATTTTGTACTGGTTCTGATGAGCTACTAAGTACACGTAATTCCTACCAACATTACCAAAACATAAGAGACAGCTGTAGTGGGAAGGTAGACATCATTGGTATAATAGAATCACAGTTATCTTGTAATTTGGAGCATTCTAAGAAACCATTTAGATGCAAACCACACTGCTAGGATAGGGTCTCTTTTGCAAGCTATTCCCAAAGCTCTGCATCCTTATGAAAGGAAAAATACCTAGGCCTCTTTACAAGATCAGAAAGTCCAGATCATTCATCCACACCATGTTCCTCTGGCTTTAGGTCTTACCACCTACTCCAGACTTGTCTCTAGCTAGGTGAAACAATTCCTTATATCTTACACCCAAAGTGAGGATCCTTAACACCAGTGGTGGTCTGGGTCCTAAGCAAAGGTATTTCATTTCCCTGGACGTCATGGAGGAATATAAAGTACAATTACAACTACCTTCTCCAGACAATATGATATTGTACTCCATATCAATGCTGATATCTTCCTTGGTAACTGACTTGTATTATTACCTAATCCTCTGGTGTCTTGCCCTCACAGCTTGTCACCAGGCCTTTTATATACGTATTTGGGCAATGTTTGTGTGTTAATTTGAATTTATTAGTGCACAGTACTAGGGATGAATGGTAATCACTTTCCCTCTACCACGTGAGGATTAACCCTTTCACTGTCGGTCCTGTAATATTATGGCTTGCAAGCCAGTGTTGGTCCCGTAATATTACGCCAAAATTCTGGCTTCAGATTTTGTGGGAGAAAGCTGGTAGGCCTATGTATAAGAGAATGGATCCGAGTGGTTAGTGAGTGCAGTATGAAAAAAATTCTGCAGCATGCAGTGCATGAGAGAAAAAAAACTCCATGTTTTTGGTTTAAAACACCGACTTTGCAGTGTATTTTTGTATGGTATTTATAGTTGTATTCTTATTTTTGTGATCTCATTTGACAGAATGGAAGATACATTACAGAAATAGAGATAATTTTGAATGGTTTATGGACTAAAAGTAACTTGAAATTGGGCTCAAAGTAGTGGAAATGTTCGATTTTTGCCAATGTTCGAGAGTAAACAAATCATGTCACGTGTCCAATACACGTCAACGGGTGGGCCTAATATGCTTTCACAAATGTACTGATATTATTTACACCATTTTTACATAATGCAGTAGTCTGCATAACAGTAAATTTTCTATTTTTTGTACAAATAAGAATTCAAAATGGAGAGCAAATGTAATGTAAGAGAGACCTGGAGACATGACTGATGAACAGAGAAAACATTATTTTAGTCCTAAGAATGTTTGTACTGTTAATTCTGGACCCTACTTTGAAACTGGCCTTACTTGAATTGTGTATGAAACTGGCCAAATTTCCAATTTCTGATCACTTTATTGGGTAGCTGAAATCTATAAATGGGCAGTTTCTTGTATTCAGTTGCTAGAACAAACTGAGTTCTAGCAAAATAGCTACGAGCCCGAAAATAGGGCTCAAAAGTGGACAAAATCGGTGATGCATAAACATCGCCGAGACCGCTAACTTTGTGAGAGGATTATTCCATAAGTTTTCCATCAAATTTCATACTTTTGGTGTCATTATCATCTGGAAAAGATTCTCTATCATTTCATAAGAATTTTTTTTTTTTTTTAAATTCGACACCGAGATCAAGTTTTCCATCAAATTTCATACTTTTGGTGTCATTATCATCTGGAAAAGATTCTCTATCATTTCATAAGAAATTTTTTTTTTTTAAATTCGACACCGAGAGCAAGTTTGCGAGCAGGGTTCCCAACAGTAAAAGAGTTAAGGTGTCCATTGGCCAGGGCACTGGAAAGGCTTACACTTATCGTCTGTGTAACCAACCAAGCCTGATGGTTATAGGTGGTAACCAACTTGTGCAAGAAAGGTATAAAATACCAACAATATGAAAGTTTAGACATGTGCAATATGTGGATATCTTTATTGTAGACGTTTCGCCATCCAGTGGCTTTATCAAGACGAGTGGTTTTTGGAACCTGACGAGCTGTTGGAGTGTGAGCAGGGTAATATTTTGTCAAGAGATTCAGGGAAACCGGTTAGCCGTGCTCAAGTCTCGGAGGTGGGAAGTACAATGCCTGCACTTTAACCCTTAAACTGTCCAAACGTAGATCTACGTTTGCACACGTAGCGCTCCAAACACAGATCAGTGTTTTATTTTTCATTCCTTCAAATTTGGCACAATAGGCTTGAGTTGCCTAGACATGAAAGAATGGGTCTGTGTACTCGGTGTGTGCAGTATTAAAATAATCTGGGAGCACTTAGTACCTTGTGGGAGCACCAGTTAGAGCAATTAGTGTGGCAAACACCAGGGATTCACTGACGCCATGTCGCATTAACACTCCCATTTTAAGAGGAAAATAAAAATAGGTTAGATAAATATACAAGTGAGTGTGGGTGGGTGTGAGTCGAACCTGACTAGCTTGTGCTACTAGGTCTGATGTCATGCTCCTTCCCTCAATGGATGTGACCTGACTAGATGGGTCATTGGTCTAAGCTGGGGGGGAAGGGGTGACATGGACCTGCCTTGCATGGGCCAGTAGGCCTGCTGCAGTGTTCCTTCTTTCTTATGTTCTTATGTATTCGGCAGGCTGGCTGGCTTGCTTTGGCTGTCTCTGACTGTCTCTCTGTCTATATCTCTATCTGTCTATATCTCCATCTACATCTCTGTCTCACATGCACACATAAGTACAGTTATTATACATAGTGTAAACTATCTAGGATAACCCAAAAATTCCAGGCAAAGATAGACAGATAGATAGACAGACAAACAGATAGACAAACAGACAAACATGTTTGTGTGTATCAGTGAAAATAAATAAAGCCAGGGTTCCCCCGAGTGCCCATTTATCAAATGTCACTGGGCTGTCAACAGATGTCATAACACCATTCTGCAAGGAGTGTGATATACTATACTCCAGGCAGACAGATAAGCAGAGACAGACAGCCAGACAGATAGACAGACATGTTTGTGTATAACAGTGATAACAAATACGTACAGCGAGGGTTAGCTAAATACAAGAGTGAGTGTGGGTGGGTGTGAGTTGGACCTGACTAGCTTGTGCTACTAGGTCTGATGTTGTGCTCCTTCCTTTAATGGATGTGACCTGACTAGGTGGGTCATTGGTCTAAGCTGGGGGGGGGGTGACATGGACCTACCTTGCATGGCTGGCTGGCTGGCTTTGGCTGTCTATCTATATCTCTGTATCTGTCTATATCTCTGTCTATCTGTGTCTCTCTCACATGCACACATAAGTATACAGTTATTATACACAGTGTAAATGTTCACCTGTCAATGTGATTGTGACTATTTGAGCACTATTTCAGTACCTAATATTAGTGTCAGAACAAAGATTTGCTATGAAATTACAAGAACTATTATAAATTGAAATTATCAGAACATAAAAAATATATAAATTAAAAAACGAGAAAAAAAGGTATATCGGCAACACTTCTGCAAGCAGCAGGAGTCAATGTTGCCGTCAGGCGAGTATCCAGAGCCAACTTCATGGTCTTATATCTTGGTAAGTACTGACCCTAATTTTTTTTTTAATCCTATAACATGTAGAAAAATGTGCTCTTCATTTTAAAAGAAAAAAATAAACGATTTTTTATTTTTCAAAATATTCGGAGTGCCACGCAAGTGAACGTAGATCTACGTTTGGACAGTTTAAGGGTTAAAGGAGGGGTTTGAGATATTGGCTGTTTGGAGTGAATCTAAACTGTCGTATCTGAGCACCTCTGCAAAGACAGTGATTATGTGTGAATGATAGTGAAAGTGTTGAATGGTGATTAAATTCTTTTTTTCGTTTTGGGTCACCCTGCCTCAGTGGGAAAAGGCTGATGTGTTAAAAAAAAAACTTGACCAGATGGTTCTCTAAATTCTGATATTGACTCCACAAGGATAATTCAGCTCCTAATGCATGCACTTGATTATGAAATATTGTACTTGATGTTTCATCAGCTGTCTGTCTGCATGTATTTGCATGCAGGAATTTTCTGACAAGACCACCCCTGATACAAGAGGCAAGTCTTTGCCCAGAGTCTACAGAATAGATCCTCTGCCTCCATCCAAGCAGACAGGTCTATTTTACAATTCAGTTTCATAAATCACCCATGTAACAGGTTGAGAATTTCCTGACTCAGTGCTCTGCCCTTTGTTTCCTAATTAAGATCTTCAGCTACCTCGGCCATGATTTTGGGTACTGGTGGCTGAAATCCTATTAGTGGTTAAAGGAACATGGATTTACTAAAATGCCAGATTATTTTTATGGTCTGTATTGAAGGGACTCGAGCATTCCTGACACTGGTGATGAACAGATGACATGCAACTTCAATAACTCTGAGGTAGTCAATAGGCTTTAAGCCCAATTAACTAACCAACAAACTACAGCCCACCATATAGTTGCTGTTAATACTTCCACCAGCTATAATTTGCATCGTGTGAATAAACACCCAATGCTGACACTGTTCCCCACTGCAACAGCTGCATTGCTCAATACCTGTCACAATAACAGTACACACAACCACTGTCAGGTACACACACACACACACACACACACACTATAACCATCACCTACCTAATAGGTGCCACCAATACTACCACCAGCTATAACTTGTAGTGCCGTCTCAGATTCATGAGACGAAGTGAGAGGGAATGTAAGGAGTGGAAGGGAATGTGAGAGAGGGAGAGAGGTAAGGGAAGAGGAAAGAGGAAATGGGGGAGGAAGGAAATGAAAAAGGGACTCATAAGAGTACTGTATATTTCACTGTTAAAAAATAAATAAAATTACATCAAATAAGACCACCAGATAATGGAGAATACAGAATAAAATTAAATAAAACAAATCTAGATAATGACTGATGCAGAACAACAGATCTCCAGATAATGGGTGGTTGGTTAGTATCAAATGCAATAATATTCTATATGTGCTAATTTCATGTATGTGTGGTGGGCTGATATTTGTATGGTAGTGAGTGATAATGAAATATGGGTATAATAATTGAGAAGTTGGGTGGTAGGGAGAGTAGGAGGAGGCAATAGGTACCCACATGCTCCAGTACACCAAGCACCACCCTCACACAGCCCTCCTCACAATACCCTCACACAGCCCTCCTCACAATACCCTCACACAGCCCTCCCCACAATACCCTCACACAGCCCTCCCCACAATTTCCTCACAGCCCTCCCCACAATACACTGACACAGCCCTTCACATAATACCTTAACACAGCCCTCCCCACAATACACTCACAACCACCATCTATAATAATCCAACACTTCTGAATTATCTGCAAACTTTTATTATTATGATCTATGCATGAGAGGAGAAGGAAGTAATGTTTGCTATCATGATGGAGGGAGGGTATCTGCCACACCACAACGTAACTAACCCCTATGAATACTGAGGCTTCACTGCACAGGACACCACTAAACTTTCATAGATGTACCCTCACAAAGCCCAAGTTATTCTAGTGTAGTTAATCTGCAAAAATTTCTAAGAACTGTTGTGACAGCTTAAAGGATTTAATATTCTAATAGCTTTATGGAAACTACAACAGACCAACTAAATGAATCACTTCATGGGAAAGCTGTCTGATCCTTGACTCTTACCTGTTGTAATAAGTAAACCAGTTTTGTTGATGATGGTGACCATGACCATGCTCTTCTCCATGCCCCCACAGATCATTGGTGAGGTTGCTTGTGCCTATTCGAGAGGTTGGTACAATCATAAACAACACCAAGAGACTAATTAGACCAACAACTGCCACTAACGTTACAAACTTTGTCTGAAATATGGACAGAGGTGGCAATGAAATAACAGTTAAATATAAATGAAAATGCACACAAAGTCTAGAACTAAAAGACATTATTACAGCCTCTCCTCACTTAACGACGGAGTTCTGTTCCTAAGACCACATCAGTAAACGAATTTGTCGCTAAGCAAGGAGCATACTATACTGGTAGTGGGTTTGTGTCAACCATCTTTGATAGTGTTTTAATGTTACATTTGCACCATTTATAACATTTTTAATAAATTTTTAAATGTTTATACAGTAGTGTACTGTATATTGTAATAAACAGAATAGAGGAAATCAGCTCTAATATATATTATATAGGTATGCATACTGGTCAGAGAGCTCATCGTAAGTCCGAGTTGTCGGTAAACGAGTACATTGCTAAGTGAGGAGAGGCTGTATATACCCTCTGTAATCCTGTGTTGTTTGTAATGGCTTGACAAAGCTCCTGGAGAGCAAAACGCTGCCACAATAAAATGTCATTTTAGTTGCATCAGTGTGCATTTACTTAAAATTCTGTTGGCAATTCTACCATTAGGACTTACATGTATGGTACACTACAAGAACTCTCACACTTACAAATTAATTAATACTCCATTGCAATAACTGATGCATATGCATGTTTATATTTGAGTCCTGCTGCAGATGTAGAAACCAACTATGTAACTGAAGTGCTGATATTTTTCCACAGAAATCATCAGAAGTCAGTCCAAGTCGTCGGTTAGCGAGTACGTCACAAAGTAAGGAGAGGCTGTATTAAGACAAAAGTGACATACTGCATCTAAATGAAACCATAATGGTGAAACATACACAAAATCTTTTAGGTAGCATTCTCCATGTGGAGAAGAGACAAAGTAGGAAGGATCTGCCAATATTGTTAAAAAGTATTACAAGCTACATGCTAGCTATTATTATCAATACATATTTCATTTTTTATTATTATTATTTGTGTAGTGCTACACCACGAGGGTCAGGCCACTGGATTGTCAAATTATAAGTTGCAAAGATTAAGATTCAGTCCACAATTTAACAACTCATGAGAGAAGGAAGAATTTCACGGGATAAATGATGCACTGAAAAATTTACAAAGAAAGCTATTAAATTAAGCAAAAGTATTCCTGAAATAATAAAATTCTTGTAATCAGAGATTTCTCATACATTTAGATAACCAGACTACAAGGCCAAATTCCTTAATATAATTACTAATTTTTAATGCATCAGCACATTACAAGAACTCACTAAATTATCCAAATAAACTTGCTTAACTGAATAAGTAAGTTTATTTAAGTACAGGTTACACATAAGTACAATTATCATACAGTGAAAATTACCTAGGATAATCCCCCCAAAAAAATTAAGCGACTTATTTCCATTTGGGTCCTTGAATGAGAGAAGGCAAAACACCATCAACACTGCACCTATTATTCAATATTAATGAGGAAGAAATTCTCAACATAAACTATCTAAACTTACTTGGAACAAATCACATTCTACAAGAAAAAAAAAGTTGCTAAACACATCTTAAGAGAGGAAAAAATAAACGAAAAAATAAATGGGATTATACAATAGGAAATTATGTTGATCTAAGACAGTATTTCAGAAAAACAAACTGGAATAAAATATTTAGAGTAATAAATAGATATAAACAAGTTACTGCAAAGCTGCATAAGTTCTGCAACATTTAAGAAATAATATTAAACAGTACACTCTAAGGAAAAAAAGAAATACACAATTAACCCTTAAATGGTCCAAACGTATATATACGTTTTTTCAACATCTGAAAGTATGTAAAAAAATGTAGATCTTTTTTGTTTTACATTTGAAAACGTGTAAAAAACTTTTATCTACATTTTTTTGTTATATTTGAAAATATGTAAAAAAAACTACATCTACTTTTTTAGCAATACGAATTTGAACGTCAATCTGTTTGGACCGTTTAAGGGTTAATAATGATTTAACAGAAGCTGAAGAGCCATGAGAAGGAACAGTGGACAAGAACAATACAGCAGATGTGTGAGCATGTTAGACAGGAGTGAGTGGAGACAAGGGCTTTTTTAACAGTTTGCAACTGTCATAACCAATTCACACTCACAGTACATTACATACATTCATAACCTATAAGTACACCTATTCAAAGTATTTTTCACATTCTGAAAGCCACATCTATAATCTGGGTTGTGTCACTGGATGTAAGTCTGACATGATCAAATTTACATAATCATCAACAGCTACTGTCATGACTAATTCACTCTCGGTACATACATTATAATCAGAAATCAAGTAAAACTATTCCAAGTATTTTTCACGTACCACGATCCATATCCGTAACTCATTGTGTCAATGGCCATGTCAGCAAATATAAACAAAGAGAAAACATCCCACCTTTCATGCCGAAAGAAATGCCGTGTTCTAGTCATGAAAGCATCCAGCAGGAAGACTGGCACCCTTTCCAGAGAAGCAGCCCATCAAAGTGTTAATATGACTTTGTATAAAAAAAAAACTTGCCATTCTAATAGTGTGTTCTTCAGCCAATGAAAATTTAAAAAAAAAAAAAGGTATGAAAAATTAATTGAAGTAGATGGTAGACATCAGCCATAGCTCTACTCTGATAATAAACTGGTAATTATGCACAACACAAACTAGTTACAATATAAAAAAAACTTACTTGAACATGAAGAGTGGAGTTTCCAACTCTATACGAAAGAGGAGTTCGGCTAAATACCGCTTGCCTCATATCCAGCACCATATTGCTATTATCTAACATT